AACACATGTAATATATTTTTCGCCAGACATTTCAATAATGTCAATGTGCAGTATTTCCGCTGGATATGAAGGTATGGGCGTTGCCTGTATTTCAGGCTTTTGAGGATGGCGGTCGTATTTGTTGCATCCACAAGTTTTGCATGCTTTTGTATATTTCTTGATAAGTTTACTCATTTGTGGAAAATAGTATTTCTCCAATATTTGCTCTTTATTTTCTCTTTCATTTCGGTGAGCTCTTCTGTGCTCTTGTTCTATTATTTTGAATTTAACTTCTTCGTCAGGAATATCGATAACAAGTTTTTGTGTGATTCTAATACGAAATTTTGAAAAGTTTTCCTGATAAACTTGTTGTAATAAAGAAATATACTTTTCAGGAATTTTGATTCCATTGAGAATATTTGGAATAAGAAAATCTTTAAGGTGTTTAACTAATTTAGTTTTATCATAGACTTCGCTTTTAATTTGATGCCTATGGTACCTTGGGTGAGGTTCCTCGTGAATAATTTCATCTTTTCCCTCCTGAAATATAATTTGGTTCTTAAATACATTAAGAGGTGCCTCGCAATGAGGTATGAGTTGTGAATTATCTTCTTCTGAACTATGCTGTGATATTTCATCGGAAGATGTCATTGTATTAACCTCTATTGGTAACCGTGATAACGCATCAGCGACTACGTTGGTTTTTCCTGGTTTATAAATTAGTTTATAGTTGTACTCTTCTATTCGACCTTTCCACCTTTTGAGTTTGGCATTGTTATTACTGTTGCTCAATGCAAACGTTAGTGGCTGGTGATCAGTAAGAATTTTTACTTCTTTTGCTCCATACAAGTAAGTCCTTAGCTTGTCAAAAGACCATACTATAGCGAGCATTTCTTTTTCTATTGTCGAGTAATTTTCCTCAGTTTTATTGAGCGATCTAGATATATAAGTTATGGGTTTATCCTTACCGATTTCCCCTTGAGAAAGGACTGCTCCAATTGCGGTATTAGAAGCGTCCGTAGTTAAAATAAAAGATTTATTGAAATCAGGAAATGCCAAAATTTCAGAAGCCACAAAAGCAACATTTTTAGGTCGTTAAATGATTTCAATCCTTCATCTGTTAATGAAATTTTTACTTTTTTATATTGACTCGGTTTTGTTTGCGCATTTTCACCCCTTGTCAAATTTGTAAGTGGTCTGGCAATTTTTGCGACGTCTTTTATAAATCGTCTATAATATGACGCTAAGCCTAAAAAGCTTTAAGATTTACGGGTGCAGGTATATTTTTTATTGCTGAAATTTTTTCAGGGTCAGGTAAAATACCATTCTCCGTTACAATATGCCCTA